GACTTGCAAGTGTAGGCAGAGTCTCGTTGTTATGATGCAAGAGCGTATGATGCGTTCTGTTACAGGAGCGGCAGCGATGCTTTGACGCACATTGAGCTACTCTGTGACCATTGCTCAGACAATTGATACAGAGGTCGTATTTCTTGGCGGCATCATAGCGTTGATTCGTGTTCATGTCCTTGAATTGAGAACACCCAATAATTTTGTGTTTATCGCTAGAGCAAAGAACACAGGAAGGCTTAGTGATGGCGAATGATGAGTTTTGTCCACGGGTAGTAATCCGAATTGGTTTGGTGAACTTACGGAGTGACGAAGAGTCGGATGAATGCAAAACCTGACAATGGCGTTCTAAAACTTGGGTGCATTGTATCCAAGTTAGAAGCGATTTGTAGTCTAGCGATTCATTCCATTTGTTGCGAGTTTGCTGATCACATTTTCCAATAACAATGTAAATCAGCATTGCTTGTGCGATATTGGAGCTCGTGCCCAATGATTCTAACGAACTGAATATAGCTGATGCCTTATCAAYCAAACTACGCAACTGTTGATAATTTGATTTATCGGCTGTTTGCAGCGTGAATAAGGAGRCAATTCCTTCCAAAAAAATCAGAGTGGGATTATCAAAGCGTTCCCTGAGTCTGTCTAAAGCTTTCGGGTAGTTTTCGCTGGTGACCTGGAAGGCTCTTACGGTTTCCAGGGCTGAACCTTTAAGACACGACAACAAATAATTGAAACGTTCTATATTTGACAGTCTAGGTTCCCGAGCGACAAGTTGAGTAAAAGATGCAATAAAGTTTTTGTATTCTGCGTAATTCCCGCTAAAAGTAGGCAGCGACAACCTTGGCAAGAATGTTGGCGTGGAAACAGAAGTTGGAGCTGTTGTCTCGGGGTAATTWATTGTAACGTTTCCTTCGTCCCCAAGTTGTGCTTGAATGCAAAGTTTGGCTGTGACATAGCTATCCTCTAAATCTGCGCGACCGGTTTCTGATGGATCCAAATCTTCAATTTCAGCTTGGACTAAGAGTGCTTGCTTAAAGTAAGACTCTAGAATTCCAAGTCGGCACTGTAACTCCGCATGTGAAGGTTTTTCGTCAAAATCCTTTGATCCCTTTACTATAGATTTAATACGTGATATATTRCGTTTTATATTAGCGCGTTTGCGTTTGGAGAGTTCAAGAGACATTATACTTTTTACGTTTATTTTTGGACACCCTTAATGTAAAGCGAAGAGAATAACTACCAGCGGTTAATAATAGCGACGGCAAAACCAAGTTGTATAAAGCTCACTAACAATGCGTAGTCTTACTAAACAATGTCTCACTAAACGTTTGGTGCAGGCAGTTTATGCAAAATAATGTAGATAAAGCATAAAACTAATAAAGCGCGGTATAATAACTGCTGCTAGCAGCAGCGCTCTCAGAATAGATKCGTTGACAGAATAGCGGCAACGGTGCAGCGGCTAAGCGGGCGATGCTTTCAAGTGCCGGCAGAGCTACTAACGTTCAGCTGAGCAGTGCAGTAGGCGGTGACTTATGCTGAGTATGCTATGATCTAACCAAAATGTTCCAAACGGTGATGTAGCGAGTTATGTATGCATGTAAATGGATGAACGTATGTATGATGATAAGTAATTTGTTTTTATACATATGTACGTTTTCCGATGAGCGGTAATTTCAGCAACAGTAGAAATGATTAAAATCTCACCAGACAAATCATCCGATTGCAAACGAGGCATGTGCAACTAAACGGAAATCAGTCCAACGATATACCAACAACTTACTAGCTCTTTGTTGGACGTGTATATGTATGCCACCACCATTAGGTTTTTTAAAAGTTTTTCACACTTTGCACAAAAAAGTAACTTATTTTACACTGCCCCACGTTGGGCGCCAAAATGTTGGAGCAAGAAGCGTTTTCCTTGCTTTATTTTATTATTTCAAAAATACGGGGGTGTAAAACAAACTAAAGTGCAGTGTGCTCCTGTTGACGATTTGTTAACGAGTGATTTATTTGCAAAGTTGTTCATATGATTATACATAATTACTCTCTAGAAGATTTGAGCATTGACATAAGTAAAGAAATTATGAGTACAATATGTGTGTGAGTACATGTGCGTATAAATGTAAGCAGCGTAAATTGAGTTATTAACAAGCAATGAGATAAAGAGAGATTTATAATAACAATGTATTACTTTTATCYGGAGAACCGGTCACAGTCATTAGGGTGACCCAACACTTTATGTCTGCAAGAGCCTTTTTCATATCATCCTCACTTATCTGACATCGGTTGGTCTTTTTCTTATAGTTGCGCATCGTTTCTAAAGTAATACTTAGCATTAGAAAACTCCTTAATTATTTTAACATTATCAAATGTTAAATGGGGTACATTTGACATTTGTCAAATGAGCCCCTTCTACACCAGTCAAAGGTGCCCCATTCCACTCACCGTCTCGTTTTTTTTATATTTTGCAAATTCTATTACACTTCAGATAAACACACTATTTATTTTCATAGCACACATAAACGGAGTAACCAATTTCGTAAGATGCTTTAAAAAATGTATTTTATTGTTTAAGAAAGATTTTACTTCCGATTTACTGAAAATTACACTCACCTACCGAACTTAGACAGTTGACTGGATTGAGTGGGTTTTGACGTTTTGCAATTAGAATGMCTGRAAAAATATATGTGAACGGAGGAATTTGTTTCCGCCGTTCAAGATCGCTAATAAAACTTTTAAATAATTAAAATCAAACGTTTTGTAATTTGATGCATAATAGAATTAGTTTCTTTTATAAATGATTAAAAACATTTAATAATTGAGAACTAGCAGGCTTAATTCACCTTATTGAGTATTGAAAAATCGAAAGCCAGTTATTTTAATATACCATAAAATCATAAAAAAGAAATTAAGTWGTTTCGAAATATATTAAGAGATAATATATAAGAATTTGCAATCGTTATAAATGTTGGATATTTTAATTTAAAATGCCAAAATATTCTTATTTTGTTCGATCTGACCATTATGAAAAATGTTATAAAAACGTTTATTTCAGAAACTCATCTAATAAATAAAAATAATTTCAATATACCGGGACTTAGACTATATGTTACAAATCATCCGGATAGAAAAGCGCATGGTGGCACGGCAGTGTTGATTAGAAATCGTTTAAACCACTATGCTCTGGAGTCTCATGCTGCACCACTGTTACAAGCTACAACAATATCACTAAAAAATCGAGGTTGGGACTTAAACCTTGCGGCTATATACTGTCTAGTCTTTAGTTAAAAAATTAATAATTACAAAATTATTGGTGATTTTTTGATAAAATTTTCAGGAGTTATAGTTCAATACTTCTACTTTCAGAAAAAATGCATGAATTTTAATTATTTTTATTTTTTAATAACAAATGAGCATTTTAATGACTTCTCCCTCAAAAAATCAATTTTTTTCAATATTTTGCAATAAATATTCAAGTAACGAAATCCGCGAAAAAATTTGACTGATCGCAATTAGATTAAGCAAAAAAAATTTGTTTAAGACGGGCGGTCAGCGCAGCCGGTATTGCGCGCTGCTGTGTATCATTGATTTACCCAACGTTGGAAAAAAATAGCKTTTAGTTATTTTATTCATTTGTTATTCCTTTGCGTATACGTGAAAAACAAAAGATCAATGAGCCATGTTAGTTCATTTGCTTAAACTGTTTATAACCAATATGAGTAAATAAATAGTTGTGACTAGACGTTTTATTGAATAACTTTGAGTTAAATTGTTTTTATTGTTCTAAATTGAATTTGTATTTAAATTTATTAGTGTTCATAATTTCGTTAAAAATTAATCCCATGAATCGGGTAAATAAATGCTGCAATCCATTTAACAAAAAAAAAAAATTCATAAAAAACTTAGTTTTAATAACAAACAATCGCGCTCATGTTTTCAAAGATTTTGTTGGCAATTATATGTGTAATTCATGTGAACGGACAATTTTTTTGGTCGAAAACCTGAAATTCTATGTGAATTATGAGTGAGTGCGTGTCCTGAAGTCAACAATCCTGAAGAGTCGAATGRTGTGATCGAAAATGACGAAGAAAATGATCCCACTTTTCAATGCAAACCGGTAGATAACAAAGAATGTTATAGGAGTGATAAAGAATGTCAAAAAGTTTTAACAAATGTGAGGAAATTTACAGATAATATTAACAATATAAATTATGAAATAGATCCATAAGAGGTTTTGCTTTATAACTTTAAATCTGCTTTTAATGATAAAACTAGTAGAGCTGATAAAAATTCATTTTTTGACTACGCTTCCTACAGATTGGCCGATGAAAACGATAAGAAAGTTTAAAGTTTTCAAACGCATGGTGACAACAGCAAAAAAAAAATAAGACGAGAAAAAGTAAAAAAGGAAGATATTTAAACACTGAAACCCTCGATCGTATTGAAGCTTTCTATCTATCAGATGACGTCAGCAGCGTAATGCCTGGTATGAAGGATTATGTTTCGGTAATTGAGATCCAGAAAAAAAAAACGATTATTATTTTATATATTATAAAATACACAAAAAGTTCACTGACGCTTATCCTGACGAAAAAATTGGACTATCAAAATTTCAACAACTCCGACCTCGAGAATATAATATTCATCATTGGAATAACAGTCAGGCTACAATTCATCATTACGTTTTGTTATAGAGAAAATGAGGAAATGAAACATATAAACAACGTCGTTATTGAATTTCTATAAAATAAGTTTGGAGCAGATAAAATAAAAAAATTGCCTACTTTTCGGACGGAGCTGTTTCTTAGTACAAAAATAAATATAATTTCGTGAATTTAATAAATCATATAAAGGACTTTAACGTGAATGCGGAATAGAATTTTTTTGCGATTTCTCACATGAAAGGGGCATATGATGGTTTGGCAGAAAGTTTTAAAAGGCAAGCTTTTCATGTAAGTCTTCAACGGGGAAGCGATAATCATATAACCAGTGCAAATTCTTTATATGAATGGGATAAGAATGCATTTAAAAAATTAACTTTGGTTTTTGCTCCCAAGAAGATCACGACTTCCATGATGAGATGTTCAAWCCTCGTCATGACCAATGTGTAACTATAACAAGTAAGAAAGGGCTAAGTTCGGGTGTCACCTAACATTTTATAGTCTCGCATGATAAAGTGATAATCGAGATTTCAGGCGTGGTTGTGAACCGATTTCACCCGTATTTGGTACATGTCATCACGGTGCTAAGAAAATATTATATACCGAATTTCATTGAAAT